TAATCAAGCATTGGAACAGCCTACCCAGAGAGGTGGTGGATTCACCATCCCTGGAGGTTTTTAAGCAGAGATTGGATGTGGCCCTTAGTGCCATGATATAGTAATTGGAGTTGGATCAGGGGTTGGACTTGATGATCTTGGAGGTCTTTTCCAACCCAATCTATTCTATGATTCTATGATTCTATGACAGTTTTTGTTTTTTTTGTGAGACATTACAACTCTGTGGCAGAAGAAAACAGTTATAATGGCATAGGAACTTTATAATGCACAATAAGGAGTTGATAAAGCCTTATCACAATTAATGATATTAATTAGATATTCAGCCTTTGACTCAGGGTTGTTGTAGCAGCCTATGGTTGGGTGCCACCTATGCTTTGTGAATAACGACTCATGCTTTGAATTTACACTTCTTTAGGAGTATCTCTTTGAGCATGTGAAAAGAACTACTCAACTAGATAAAGCTTATTCTAAAAAAAATCAGAAGAGTTGGGCTTTTTTATTTCTGTAAAATTTACTTTCCTTTTGACTGTATTTCCAGCTAACTTAGCCCCATATGATAGTTATAGCAGAATGCCAGTCCCTCCTTGGTTTTCACACATTTTGAAGATGAAGATGAATTTTCCATTTTATTCACTCATTCTGTTTTAAAACTGCTTTTCATTTTATGTTTTCTCATTCCCATTTTTCTGACCAATATCCTTTCATCTTTATCTATTCTACTTTTGCTTTCGTTGTTCACTCTAGTGGGTTCATATTTGCTTTCTGTGCTCTACTGATACACCTCTGTATGGCTCTTCAGTCCTAGTGCCTCAGTTTGAGTATCTTCCTCAGCTTTTCACCTAGAAATAAGCTTTTTCTATGACCTTGATTATGAGTTGCCTAGTCTTCAAGCAAAAAATGTCCTTTTACACAGGGTAAATATCCAGTGGAAAACAACAGCTCATAATTAATTTCAGCAGATCCATTACTGCTAAAAGTGTCTGATTTTGGAAAAAGGAGAGAAATTGGAAAAGGAGTTTTCTGTATGAGTACAGGTGACAACATTCTTAGAAAGAATTAAAAAGTGGTCAGTGTTATCATGTAATGTCAAATACAGAGTTTGATTAAAAGCTACATGGACGGGAATTTTTTAGCTTGTAATAGAAGTCAAGATGGTGGTGTTATATCCCCTCTGCCGGTCAGTTCCAGCTCCTGAAAAGGCATTTTTTTGTTACAATTTCCAGTTACAGTTAAAATTGCTGGGATATCGACAAATACATGTGCTCACTGATTACTTTCCTCTGGAATAGAACTGCAAGTAAGTTATACAGGAAAATTTCCTAATTTACCTTGTTTTGCTGGCAGATATCTTTATATCTTGCATCTAAAAATAATACAAGAAAGTCAGATTTTGGTTTCTTCTTAGCAGATCTTTGACACAAAAGTTCTAATTTATTGGAACTGCTATGGGGAAGTCATGGTTTAGGAATGGTATTTCCCAATTTAGTGTTCCCTCTGAAACACTCAAACCCACGTACCACTTGCTCACTCTGTCCTCTCCCTTCCCCTCCCTGCTGCAGTGGAATGGGTAAGAGAATTGGAGACACAGAAGGTAAAGATAAGAGATAAGAACAATTTAATGGAAACAGCAATGTATCAGCAACAATATTAATAACAAATTGTACAAGAGAGGTGAACAATTCACATGCGAATGCTCACCAGGCAGAAGCTCTGACCACATCCGACCATGCTGCCAAGCTCCGTGACCTGGAAAGGACCCCTTCCCTCTCCCCAGAAAATAACATAAGGTGGTATAGAATAACCTGTGGATTGTAGCCATGCCTCTCCTGGCTACTGCAAAAATTAATCCTGCCCTGGCCAGAATCAAAATGGGAAGAAAATCCAGATCTCTCTTTTTTTTTTTTTTTCTCTTACAAACACCCCCCTCCTACCCCAGTACTCTTCTAGTTAATTTTCTGAACTGCTGAGTGTGTGAAATATGAGGTCTGCTAGCAAAAGTCTTGCAGTGATTCTGGGAAACAAGGTCCCACAGTTTTCTTCAAAATAGCAAAATCCCCAAATCCCAGAACTGTGCAAACACAGTGAGCCACTAATTTTTTATTTCTTTTATTTTGTCCCCTCATTATGAAAGTGCAGGTATAGCATTAAATTATTTGGAAGTAAGTGATGAAAAATCTACGTCAACCCTTATAGTAGAATTGAACTGTTTGCTTTTCTCCAGGGATATAAATTCAAGATATGTGTGAGGTGGATTGTGTCTTGAGCATCTGAGCTGTGTTTTTGGAAGAATGTGTCTCATTAGCAAGGAGGAGAAGAGCTGTATACACCTTTGAACGCTGAATGTTGCACTGTGATAGGCAATAAAATATCTTTCTTTTCTCAACACACACTTGCTTACCTGTACTTACTCTTTGTTGTAATTGTAGTCTATTCTCATCACATTTGTTTGTTATCATCTCTTGGTACTTTTTTCTTTTGTTACTGTTGCTTCTTCTCATATTCATGGCAATATTTACAGATAGGGTTGATGTATATTCTACTGACAGCAGCATTAGCTGAAAAGATGGTCCTGATGTCCTGTGGACTTGTAGGACTTCATAAACTTATGGCAAGGCAACATATTAATGACAAAGTAATTAGAGATGGCAGAACATTTTTCAGGTAGTTATTTCATTCATGAAAAATAAAGTTCCTTTATCTTTGGTCTATTGAAAATTGGCATTTATTTCACTTAGTTCTTTCAGCTACGTCTGAAAAGACGTTCAATGGGAAAATGGATAACGAAGAGATTTGGCAGTAAAATACGGATTTTTGTCTCCATGTTGGTCACTTTTTCTTAATCAGTTTTGCAGTCTGCTGTCTGCTCAGTGATTCACATTAAATGAATTTTGTCTAGTTTCTGATATACTGATGTGTCCTAGTATTAGTTCCCATTGCAAATATATGATTGCTGTAACTGACGTGCTTCCTGGAAATCTTCATAGACTTCCTTGGGATTCAGATTAGAGCTGCTGCCTTTGGCATAGTTGTTTCAGCCCATTCCCAACTTGAGGTACCACTGTGATTTATTCTTCTGTTATATTTTTCTACCTAGACTCATGATCACTTTCTCACAGCCTGTAAATTCAGGAGAGAGAAAAACCCTACTTCAGTTATTTTTTGGATGTTAGAGGAGGGACATTTGAGAGGCTTTTTTCCCCACTTCTGTTGTAGCCAAACATTCAAACTTTTTACAAACCTATTTCTGAATATAAGTGCTGAGACAAAACTGTTGATAACACTTCTCAGTGTCTCTTTTCCGGGAGAGAAATATGAGATGGTTGATGAAGTGAAGGGTGCATATAGATGCTAGTAGAGGTAGAAAAGTTTTCTCTGTCAGTGAAAGTGGGGGATGAGGGAGGAGAGGAGGTAAATTTCAGACAGGTTCCCAAGTTCCAGCCAAAGGCAATTCTAATGTAAAACTCCCTAGCAGTAAAGTCAGACCTATAAAGTTCACAAATTCAGATATATTTTACTTCCTGACTTTAATTCCAATGAAGTGGCTTAATTTTAACCTCAGCTTTTCTGCCCCCTCGAGTCTATTGCCAGTATTAATGCTTAGTAAAAGCAGCATGACATGGAATCATAGCATCATTTATGCTGGAAAAGATACAAGAAATGCCAGGTGGACTTGGGCATGCTGCTGTATACGCAGGAAAAATCAGACCAACTTAAGCGCTCCAGATGAATACCTAATGAATTTACAGTCCTGTTACCTAATATCATAAGTCACAAGAATTTCTTAACTCCTATATTGGATCATGTTATATGTTCCTATCTAAAAGTTACAGCTCACTAAGCTACAGTTTTCTTGAAAGTACATTAGGACAGTATAATTTAGTGGTTGAAAAACATGATTAGTAACATAGCTAGTAGAATAATTGGAAAATAGCCAGTTATCTGGGGCTTAAGGTTGTGCTTCCTTTATTTTTCTGAAAGAACATGTAGCTGTTAAGAACTGTAGTGCTTTAGCATAATGTGCTTTTCATACCTTTAACCTGTTAAGGTGCTCAAATTACTTGTAGAATTTATTTGTCGATGTGACATGTTAGTTGACCTATTCAGTCTCCTGGTGGCACAGCAGCTTGGTACTGCAGCATCTGAACCTCATCCCTTGCTTGGATAATTTATTTCTATATCACAAAGAAGAGCATAATTTTTAAAAGGCTTTAAAATTGCAAGGCTCCCTGC